GAGCCGGTGAGATTAGAACCGCTGAACTGCAGATAACAGTCAGCTGAAGTGGCCTGCAGTACTGCACCCTAACCATTGCGCCACCTCGGCTCTTCTTCACTGGCTAGGGACGATGAGAGTTCCAAATTCAGAGTGAATTTCACCCCAACCTACCTCACAAGAATATTGAGGTGATAAGGTAAAAGGAAAAGAAATCCTTACATTTTACTTTGAAGCACTAAATGACCAAATAAGTAATATTGTCAGTTCTGTCATCGTAATCACTTCAGCTTGCTTTGCTTCGCTGGCATTCTGCCTTAAACATGAAGAATGGGGGGAGAATGGGGACGTAAGGAGGAGGATTGACAGGATGGCAGGAACCAGCGGTGCCAATCCAGAAGAGACCATCAGATCCAAGGACATGAGAATGTGAGAATGGAATGCCAAAAGTCCACCAAAGAAATGCCAAGTCCTGAAGCTGTTACCAAAACACCTATTTTAAATACTATTGGACACTTACGAACTGGTCAAGGAGGTAGGGTCTGGGAGAAGAGGAAAAAGGCAGGTTTTGCGTGGGAAAATCAGATCCAGCTTTTCTTACGCTGTAACCACTTGGCTGGGAATGGGGTAACTTGCCACAGCTACATTGCCTCATTGCAGGACAATTTAACAATTCTATGTAATTAGGTGAGCCCAAGTAATTCGCCACCTTTGCCTCTAATGCTGATATAAAAACTAATGCAGTATTACTGTAATACAGGATTTCTTTGTTAAAAGATTCTGTCTACATACTGAAAGAAATATATTCTCTATTCTCTAACTATACTTTCCGTTGCATAAAATATCTTCAACTTTGCTCAGATTTGTTGTGTTTTTCATAGAGGGTCTGTGCTATTCTATAAGAGAGTAGGCCTCTATTTTTCTAAATCTTGCTAAGGCATTATTTCAAACCAAACCAGCACTGGAACATCCCTTGCAAGATTAGACTATTTCTAGACAAAACTTCTAAACCTGACTGGGCAGACTTTACAAACCATAATAATTAACATAATTATCTTGGGATGCTTCCAAATAAAGTATTATGGCATACTTTTATTGTCTTAATCATGGAATGTTATGGAGGAATCAACATACATTTTCCCCTTAATCCTATGCTGTTTTCCATAGCTTTTTCTGTTCTCTCCAATAATGATCTTTTGCATTTAGGTTTCCACTTTATAATAACTTACAATAATTATGCAGCATGCTGCAGGTATTTGAAGCTATCCTTATAAAGGTAACAAAAATATATTATAAAATTGGGTTAAAATGTATTATGAGTGAGCTAAAATGACAACACATTTTGGTTGCTGCCAATCAAATCTAACCTAATCTATGCCCTACTCAGAAATATTGTGATCATGAATAAATCTCTGAAGTATAAACAATTATTTAAAAAAACATGTAATAAAATAATTAAAAAGATAATAGTAATGGTATATGAAAAGCAGTATTTGCATCTTCTTGCACCAAAGCTGGTGCTTGTTAGGAAAGTAAAGAATATTTCTAGTCTCCCCAAAGTCATATGCATATCCTAATACATCTATAAGGAGCCATGGTGGCGCAGTGGTTAGAATGCAGTATTGCAGGCCAATTCAGTTCACTTGACAGGTGTTCAATCCTGACCGGCTAAAGGTTGACTCAGCCTTCCATCTTTCTAAGCTCAGTAAAATGAGGATCCAGATTGTCAGGGACAATATGCTGGCTCTAAACCACTTAGAGAATGCTGTAAAGCACTATGAAATGGTATATAAGTCTTAAGTGTTATTGCTATTGGTGACCTTATCACCTGAGGCCTACAAATAATACCTTTTTGTTAATAAAGGCTTTGATAAGGACAGCCATTAACTTTCAAATACCATCATGCAGGAGAAAGAAACAAAACCCATTCTTTGCATGTTGAGGGATGCAATGACAATCGGTACATTTAACAATGTAAGAAAACACTTCTAAAATCACATTACCTGTATTTTGCATTTGGCTTCCACAAGCTGCAGCTTAGTCTGTGCCAAGTCCAGTTCCATCTCTCGCAGTTGTTTCTTAAGGGCATCTTTCTCATCATCCGTGTCTTCTCCTGGCCTGTCTTTAGCAGCAGGCACTTTTAGTGTTCCTTCTTTACTGAAAATTTCACTACAGTGTTTGCAAGTCATCACCTTTCCCTGAAATAGCCAAATAGAAATAGACCATGATGCAAAAAGAAAAAACAGAAATGCCCAGCCATATTCACTATATTAACATGTCTCCCTTGCAGTAAGTCCATTATACAGGAAAATTTCTTAGGCTGTAGAACTTCTAAATCTTTACTGGTCATAGATAACGGTTAGCAATATGGTTTCTGGCTGTCAAATTGCCTGCTCCTCCTGCTTATCACTAACAGTCTTTAAATTTAAAGTGAGGCATTATAAGCTGAGAGATATCAATTCTCACCTTTACAACTTCAAGTTCTTCTTTACTGGCCACTTGTTGTCTTTCTAGTCTGCTACTCAACTGGGAACAAATCTAAAAGAAGGTGGAATATTTTAAATTTTAAAGAAATTTCAAAAATTAAGCATCCTTTAATATAATAGTGATATGTTTAAAATGAATCAGTATATCAGTTCCTTACAATGTGTCAACTCTGTCAAGGGCCATTCAGACCCAACTGAAAGTCTTTAAAAGGAAAAAAACAAGAAAGTCCAGTTGTCTCCTGAAAAAGCACCTTTGGGACCCAACCGAATGGCATTTCCAAGATTATTAAAATTAAGATACCATAACTATTGGTATGAGGGTCATACGTCTGTTGCAAGTTTTGAACATGGAGAAAGCATGTTTATTAACTAGACTTTGCTAGTTGATGGCTAAGAAGTAAATTTTGACTTGCAACAGGTTGAGATTTGTCTTGGAAAGTAATAACTACGTGTTGGTATTTTCAGTTAAAAAATACAGAAATAAAACCCTAAATATATTATCATGGTAAAAATAAACATTTCAGAAACGAAATAAAGAACATATGCTACAGTTTGAAACCAAAACAAAGCTGGATAAGACCAAATCATAGGTGCTAAAAACTCCTTCAAACTGCTTACAACCTCAGCCAAACACATTCTCAGTTTTTGTAATGTTTTTTTAGAGGTCAATGAACACATTGCTAATCTTCATTCTATTTTTAAATTCAAAATATTGGTTGATTTCATGTGAGGCACTGTATTCTTAAAGATCTAAAGATTCAATGTACCTCTGACATCATTACAGTACCTGGGCCATACCATTTCAAACTTTTACCTAGAAATTAATGTACTTAACAGAATCTTTCCTCTCCAAGTTATATAAATTTAAAAGGGAACTGAAAATGTAACACCCGTCCCTCCAAAATCAACATAATTACCTGTTTGTATTCTGCAATGATTGCACTTGTCTTCTTTATTTCAGATTCTGCCTTCTCTAACTGCTTTCTGAAGATCTCCTTTAGCTGCGTGAAGGGGGGAAAAAAACAATTAACACTAATCTTAATCAAACAACTAAACAACTAGGTACGGTAACAAGAAAATTACTGAACAATTTTAAAACATAGTTTTTGTCTGAAAAAGCTACTGTTCTATACTACCGTTTCATATCTTTGGTATGTTGCTGAGAGTCCTTGAATTGCAGAAGAATAGAAATGTGGGCATAAATAAATAAAACTAAAAATGCTGAGCTATAACTTATTTTAGGAGATTTAATTCCTACAATAACAAAATATTGCTATCTTCTAATTAAAAGTCAACTGGATTTTCATGACTTTATAAAAGTGTGCCTTATTGCGAAATTCCTGAACAGGAATATAGCATAAGATAACCTGTATTGTCATTTTTTTACTGCGACCATACTGGCACACATTAAAAATGAAATCCTGCTTTCCACTTTCATAGAGTTATTGACTTGAGGATCTCACAAACCTTTAATCCTGCAGTTAAATTAATTCCAGTGTGTTGAATATCTAGAGTGATGAATTGACTATTAATTAGTGGTAGTTAATTTTTAAAAAGTCCTTTGAAACATGATTTCTTATGCTGACATGTATGTATGTATGTATGTATGTATGTATGTATGTATGTATGTATGTATNTTAGGTTTAGGGTTAGGTTAAGGGTTAGGATTAGGTTTAGGGTTAGGTCAAGGGTTAGGTTTAGGGTTAGGTTTAGGGGGGTTAGGTTTAGGTTTAGGGGTTAGGGTTAGGGTGCTTCTGTCTCCGCGCTGTTGTCGCCCTGTTGATGACGTCAGCGACGCGGTTTAGTCAAGCGCGGTTTAGTCGAGCGCAGTTTTGTGGTGGAACCCAACAATTTATCCTCTCATTGAAATAGAGGCAACAGAGCTATGCCCAGGGATCTGCCTTCCCTGTTGCTAGGCATCATCCTTGCCCAAGTTGATAGATTCTGCTGTCAAACTGGCAATTAAGTCCCTAAAGCTAAGGGTGCTGGGGGATTTCAATCTGCTGAGTGGTGGCACTGAGTCCAGGACAGCTCAGGAGTTTGTGGACACCATGGCAACCGTGGCAATGGATCTCTTCTAAATGGCAGCCATGGCAATGGATCTCTTCTAAATGGCAACCATGACAGTGGATCTCTTCTAAATCCTCAACAGCCCAACGCGTACTACAGCTGCATGCTGTTCTGACTTTTGTTCTGAGGCAATCGTGATGTGATCTGTAGTGCAGAACTTTAATATCAATCCATTGCCATGGACAGATAATTCTCCAGTTACTTCTCAGCTTACTGTGGTCCCTTACTTATGGAGAGGCAGGTTCTCAGATTCATCAGCCCACTGCCATCAGAGAGTGTGCCATGGGAGTTTGGGAACTTCCCTGGGGAATCTAACAGATGGTTCAGTTGAGGCTTTGGTGGCCACTTGGTATGGATAGATTTCTGGGCCTTCGATCACATAACTCCTATGTAGTCATTGCCTGTATCTGATTCTGGATATATTTTGATTTATTAAAGAACTCTGAGAGACAAAGGGCCAAAGTTTATGGTAGATATGCATTGGAAGAAGACTTGGAGTGAATGGATCAAACATGAATAAAAGCCCATATCAAGGATTACCCTATAGAAATCAGGATTGCCTCACAGGAACATTTCTCAGGCCACTGTGAAGAATGTTCTAACTATTTGGAAGATAAATTATCACTATGATAATGATTTATCACTATTGTTGTATGTACACTGAGAGCTTATGCACAGGAGTCAAATTCCTTGTGTGTCTATTCACACTTGGCCAATAAAGAATTCTACTTCTAAAATCATACAGATCTGGACTTGCGGAAAGAGGGGTTGATGTCGTCTGCCTTGGTAGTCCTTGAACTCAACTATTTTATATAACTGCTGGCAAGGTCATGTAGTCAGGCTGAAAGGGGATTCTGGAGGGAGTGGATTATAGACTCATTCCAATCAGATACAGACTGGTATGTAGTATAGGGAGACCCCTGATCATACTTAACAATGATCTGTGCTGGAGGCAAGATAGAGGTGGTGCATCTTTCCTTGAGCTTCTTCAACTCTCAGTGGTTCTTCATACTGCTAACCACAGATCCTTCTGCACCAATTCTGGGGGTTGGGAATTGGAGTCACCATATTGTTATTTTTTTCCCCCCTTCCTTCAAAGCCTGTTCCATCTAGTGGTGAGGAGAGGTTGCTCCCTAGGTCCTGTTGATTGGAAAGTTAACTAATCTGGTTGTAAGGCAACATTAAACTGAAGAATGTTTGGGGAAGTACCATCCCACTGTAACACACATTTAAATAGCGAATTACCTGTACTGTTATTGTCACAGAAACATCCTGTACTTAGTGAGACAAGTATGTAATCTATCCAGGCTCCACTCTGTGGATTTGTAAATAATATGTGAAACTATAATCATTAGCAATTTCTTTACCTCACACATCTATTAATTTAAACTCAAATAACGGTTTCTTAAACATTATCATCAAATCATGCCTTTTGTTATAAGCCACACCAGTATCGGTCTGGAATTCCATCTCTGCATGTTGCCTTTTGTAAATATTTACATTTTACCACAGTTGTTATAAAAAAAACTGAATTCAAATTTATTTGGTGCATAAAGTGAAAGTAAAGTAGTTAATAGCCCCCCCCTTCAAAAATCCTTTAACAAAGTTATGTCTACTCTTTTTTTATCACTAAGAACATACATCATTTCAAAGAATATAGAGCTTTCAAAAATAATAGTTAAACCCTCAATATTTAGAAGAGCCTCTTACTATCAGTATTAGTCTAAAATCAAGCATTTTAGCAGAATATCATTTGGCTTAAGAATTGCCTGCAACACTGTCATATTTGAATGCCTTGGCTATAACAATAAATCATTCTTTTGTATATAACCATACATATTTAACCCTGAATGTTTGAAGTCACAATTTTAACCTCTTCAATTCTAATTCATCCCTCCTTTTCCTTTTCATTCTATATAGAACCTCACTCTCATAGAATTCAACAGCCTCAAGGCCTCAATACATCAGTGTTCACTTTGAGGGGCAGAAATCTCTAAGAGATATGTGGATGCAGGTCTAAATCTTAAAATTACCTAAATTGACATGTGACATGAACATCATGTACACATTATTTTAAGCTAGAATTCAAATTCTGCTTTAGGTCAATGCAGTATAATAATTAAAAATCCAATTTTCCAGATTACTCAAAATTTGGTTTTATCTTGTCTAAACAAAATTGATATAAATTTGGGTATTTTTAAAAAAATTGTCTACCAGTCTAAGCCCTAAATACATATCATGAATAACAATGCTTACAAAAGTTCAAGAAACATGAAAGTAATTCGACCTATTAGTTTAACACTGTGCAATTGGTCAGTCATAATACTTAATAAAACCCATTTTAACAACTCAGTGGTTCAAATACATTACTGCAATAATCCTTACAACATCCCTGTAAGGTAGGCTAGCAGTATCATATGTATGTAACATATGCCAACTGAGCGGAAGAACAGATTAGTGGTAGAAATACTATTCAAACTTTCATTTCAGGTTGCTATTTTGTTCCATGCAACTAGTTATGGGAGTTCAGACCAAAAATGTAACAAAATGGATAAAACTAAAGTCCCATTTTACTAAGGAATTCTGTTTTGTTCTTGCTTGCTGTTTTGTTCTTGCTATCAACATAAAATTGAAATGTGGTTCAATAAAATGAATTATTTCACTACCTCTGCCTCTCAGTCTACGACAGGGGTCAGCAAACTGCGGCTCTGGAGCCACATGTGGCTCTTTCCTCCCTTTGCTGCGGCTCCGTCACCGGTCGGCGCCACAATTTTGAGAGGAGCTTCCAGTGGAAGGCCGGGGAGAGAAGCACAGTGCGCCAGGAGAAGACTCTATGGCAAGGGGAGGGTTTTCCTGTTGTCTCCACAATTGATAGGACTTTTGGTTATGACAGGTAGAGAAAAAAGTACACTCTGCTAGGAGGAGACTCTATAGTGAATTTCCGGTCAGCTCCAGAATTAAACAGGGGGCTTCCGGTTAGGACCTTTGTGGTTCCCAGTGTTTTCTTTTCTGTGGGAAACGGGTCCAAATGGCTCTATGAGTATTTAAGTTTGCCGACCCCTGGCCTATGAGATCAAGAGAGTTATAAATATTACTAAATTATCAAGAGTATTTGAACCATAGAGGGGAAAAAAAATCATTCACTCAGTGCAGCCAGTCAGTTATGGCAGCATTTGCCTTCCAAAATGCATCTAAGGTAGTGAACCACACATAACTTTGTCTAACACATAATTCTTTGCCTCCTTTTCATGTCAGTAGAAGAGAATCCCTCATTCTTTTCCAGCATCCCATGCAGTTTCCCAGAAGTATAACCTACAAACATATAAACTGAGAAAATAAAAACATTATATGTTGTTCTTAAGTAAAATGAAATGAACAATTTCAAGTAAAATATAAAAATTTAACAATAAACCATTTGAAATAAGTCTCTTGAAATGTGCCACAGCAGGCATTGTGAACCCAGATCTCTCCTGTCAGCTTGTCAAGACAATCTCTTTCTGTTCTAATGGGAAGTATTTGAGCACATGGCAACTCCTTACCTTGTATCGATCCAAAGGGTCTTCCTGCTGCAGCTGATTCTCCCTCATCATCTGATATTCCCTCTCATATTTCTTCAGCTTCTTTGTAGGCACCTGTAGGTTAATAAAAATGAATGAGTACTATTAAGGTTAACATTCGAGGTGAAAAACTTACTCTAGCAAGACATATAGGGCAGTGTTTCTCAACCTTGGCAACTTGAAGATGTCCGGAGGTCAACTCCCAGAATTCCCCAGCCAGCGAAATAGATTATATTTCAATTATGTACAGCGAAGTGGATATAACAGAATAGCAGGGATGGAAGAGACCTTGGAGGTTTTCTAGTCCAACTCCCTGCTCAAACAGGAGACCCTATACGAGTGTTTCTCAACCTTGGCAACTTGAAGATGTCCGGACTTCAACTCCCAGAATTCCCCAGCCAGCGAATGGACATCTTCAAGTTGGCAAGGTTGAGAAACACTGATATAGGGACTAAGAGAAGTAGGAGCTATTGTCAGTAGACCATCAGTAGCAAAGTAGTCACTTGATCTTACAAAGATCTGCCAGTACATTTTGAATGAAAGTAGATATCTTACTTCTGCCCAACAAGGCTACAGTGTTCTAAGTATTAGGCCAAAAGTAGGGAATATAACACAATGGAACTTTATGATTTCTATTGTTATAGGATGGGGGGATCACACTTCCCAGGCCTAAGAGCAGCAGCTAACTACCCATCTCAAAATAAGATGGGCTGGGATTCTTTGGGGGGTGGTGTCTTTATAACTGCCACTAATTTGGGATTTGGGACAAATGTGTGTGATATAACTAAGGAAATTGGTTGTTTTTTTTAAATAATCTTTATTGGTTATACATTTTTNAATGGGCCCATTTTTTGAAAAACGGGCCGTTTTTGGGAGGATTGCAGAGTACAAAAACTTTTTTTAACATGTTCCTCTTCAAAACCTTGTTGCGTCTTATATTCCGAAAAATACGGTATGTCTTAAGAAGAAGATAAATTTAAGTTCACTACTAAGGTAAAATGCTCAAAGTTGCTTCAACAGTGAGATAGATGGATGGAGAGGGAGGGAGGGAGGAAGAGGAAGGAAGAGGGAGGATGGGATGGGGTATTGAGGCAAGCAGGCAGACAGGAAGACAGATACCTACTGGTGAGGCAAGCAATAGTAGCAGTATTGTTACGGCTTGTGGTGGGCAAGTCAGTGGAAGGGCAATTGATCTCATCCTCCTTCCCCATGGGCAGAGCAGAGTTCCTCATGGCTCTTTAGCCCTCAGGCTTCTTATAAGGAATTCTACTCTGCCTTAGCATTCCATCCCCAGAACACCTCAATGGCAGTCTAACCCAGTGTTTCTCAACCTTGGCAACTTGAAGACGTCTGGACTTCAACTCCCAGAATTCCCCAGCCAGTGAATTCTGGGAGTTGAAGTCCAGACGTCTTCAAGTTGCCAAGGTTGAGAAACACTGGTCTAACCAACCAATGTAGATACATAAATGGCTAAACATGGACAAATATCCTAACACAATAATCACAAAACCCAACATTGAATTGCAGAGCAAGACACAACACTGAGCATGTCAATATATATGTTGCTCAAAATGGGCAAGTATTGTTCTGAGTACAGTATGTTTTGTGCAAAGCTCGAAACAAAACTTTTGCAACCTGTGTGTTTGAATTCAAGTTCGGACTACTTGAAAAGGCTGCTTCAAGCACAGAAAGTTTTGCACATCCTGATGCTTGGTAGAATACAGAATTGCTATTGGATTAAATAAAAAAAAATTTATATATACATTCTTATTTAACATGATTTTAAACTAGAAAAATAATATCCGGATATTTAGCAATATATCACTTCTCAGTTACAATATAAGTATAATGGAATTTTATATATTAATTAAAATATGAAAGTATTACCTAAGTGATAAGGGATTTTCTGTATTTAATTAAAGTAACATTAATGTATTTTGTTTTTTAATTTATTTTTCAAATGCACATTGAAAAGAAAATAAGTATGTGGTACATATATTTTTAAAAAACAAAAAATGGCAGATAGTGAACAAACCTCAAATAATCAATAAATCCAAAATATCATGTGGCTAATGTATTCTAACACAATTAAAAGCTTAAAATACTATAAGACATTTCATACACAGTTTCTAGTCAGGACATAAGTCTATTGAACTTTAAAAATACCAATGAGAAGAAAAATAAAAACTATAAATAAAGAATACCTTTGTAAAATATGATAAATAATATGAAAATTATGTCAAATTAAAATATTCCATTTCTAGAAATGGTTTCCAAAGAAGATTGAGTTCTGCATCAGATTTACAGTACTTCTTTAATATGAAGTAATTCTAGATATTAAAGCAAAGTCCCATTATTTGGTTAAGTATTTTTTTGATGATGGAGAACAAAATACTTCTCTGAAAACTCAGAAATTGAAGACAAGAGCAGTCAGTGTTTAAAGTGGACACAGATAATCCTAGGATTCATTACAACTACTTCCGTTACAAGTTACAAGCAAAGGGCAGTAAAGCCATTCCAAGAATGTTCAAAAGTGTGTTAAGTCTTTAAAACAATATTGAAACTAAATCTCTTCATATACAGGTAGTTCTCAACTTATGACCACAATTAAGCCCCAAATTCCCATTGCCAAGCAAGATAGTCACTGAATTTTGCCCCATTTCATTATCTTTCTTGCTACAGATGTTAAGGGAATTGCTGTAGTTGTTATATTAGTAACATGATTTTTGAGTGAATCTGGCATCCCCATTGACTTTGTTTGTCAGAGGTTTACAAAATGATCCTGGCCTCTGCGATCATCATAAATACATGCCAGTTGCCAAGCGTCCAAATTTTGACCCGTTACTATTGGGATAGTTCGCCTCGCACATATGTGCTAGTCGTTCCCGACTCTAGGGGGCGGTGCTCATCACCGTTTCAAAGNCACACAATTGGATATACCTGCTTTATTTTATCTCCACTGAACTGCTTCTTTATGCGGGGACATTGGCATTCTGTTGAGGGCATTCATGAACTCTAATTTCCCTACAGCGAAGAATGTTTAAAAAACAACAAATTACTTACCCACTTGACAGACAATGACATAAAGTTGCAAGTGATCCTCTTCTCCTTTTCTCTGGCCTGGAATCTGTTCTGCTGCAATCCAGAGAATTGGCTTCATGTCATGTGCTTTGAATGGTAAGGGGTATCTCCAGAGTTACTGCACCTTGACTGATTGGGACCTAGTAACATCCTTATGGGCTGTGCATGAAGGAGGGGGTGAGAATGGGAGAACTTTTGAGAGAAAGCTGACAGATTTTAACTTAGGTGGGGCAATATATAGATAGACCCCAGTACAGATTACTCAGGTGATCCCTGACTGAATCTTTTTGTAATGTATATCACTCAGGGGGAAGAAACCGGGGCTCACCCTAATATGAAATTAATGCTTTCGAGAGGCAGATCAGCTGCTGTTAAAGGGATAGCACTCCCCCAGTGGAGTGCTGGCTGCCTGTGATTTGAAGGGTAAAGTAAGGGGTTATCTCTCAATTTCTCTCCAATGGCTTCATGAAAAGAAGGTTGCCTTAAGAAAGAGATTTGTACTTCCCAGTCAATATTCCATGTGGGAACATTGCAGAGGTGGGTTCCTACCGGTTCACACCAGTTTGATAGAACCGGTTCGTCAAATCTACCGAATCGGTTAGAAGAGGTTCCACCAGTGGACCCGGAAAGCAGGCCACACCTACAGAAGAGGTTCCAAACATTTTTTGAAACCCACCACTGGAACAATGGGATATCACAGCATTACTTGCCTTGGGTCTGTCATTCAGGATGCAGGAACTTGCTATTGATCAACTTCTTTCAGGTACAGCAGCCCAAAACAGGTAGTTTTCTTATCTTCTTCAAGCTCACATAAGTGGCTTCTGTTCTTTTTGGCAATGCAGCGAAGATGTTATCCCAAGAAGAGGCTGGTATGCTTGGGCATGCCAAGAAAATTCCCAGGCTGGAAACAGAGTCCTGTCTGCTGCTACTACTATTAAGCCTCTCTTCTAAGCTTTTCTCAGCCTTTTCTTCCTTACTCCTTCTGAGCTTCATCTGCAACAAGGAGCTTTGTCCACCTGGAGGGAGATCCATTCCTGATCGACTTTCCTTCACCTTTGGGTCACTTCCTGGAATTACTCAAAGTTTTTCTTTTAAAAATGAACTGAAAGCAAAAACTGACTCATGCCGTATAGCGTAAGCATAGAGAGAGCTTCAATTATTTCTCTACTCCTGGGGATCAGAGGGACATGCATTCAAGTGCTGAAAGGTTCATCAGCCTCATTCGCAATATACATAATTTCCAACATGATGTCATCTTGTTGTTTGCTCAATTGAATTGCTCAATTCGCTTACTGCAGATTTCCTATTGCTGCTGTTAACAGCTGGATAGTTTCCTAACAAAGATTGTGTAGTAAATCCTTGCGCAGATGTAGGATTCAATCACCTTTTAAGCACCTTCCAGCTCTATGATTCTATGACAGTAGAAGATGCCCAAGAAGGTGCTTAAGTATTCATGATGTTGAATAAACATTGTGTCCTCACCTATTGCAACAGTTTAGAAGTATAACATGGGTCTTAAAACTGCAAGCTTAAAGTGCAGCCATACTACCCTGTCCAGATGACTCCTCCCCTACTTTGCTGATGATAATCTATTGATTGTGGTCTTCATTCACAGGATAGGGTAACTCCTCATTCCCCTGTCTCTCAAACTTAGTTCTGGGCTTCTAAGAGAGGGTAGAGGTACTCACTATGACTAGTGGTACCCACAATTATAATAATTGATGCCACTATTTCTGCTGCAAGAAGTATTACCAACCGGGCCTTTTATTTGATTATATCTTCCAAGTCATTTTAAGTTAGGCTGTCATGGAACGGGGAGGGTTATATAGCCATCATCTAACTGTAAGAATTATTCCATACCCACCTGAACAAATAGGGGTAGAGTGAGTAAAAGAGATACTGTATTTTTTTGGAGTATAAGACGCATCTTTTTATCTCAAAAAAGAGGCTGAAAATCTGGGTGCATCTTATACACTGAATACAGCATTTTTTTG